TTATTTTGAAAATATTATTATCTCCAGTACAATGTGCGCCAACCAATTTTCCCAGTAATTCAGCTAGCAATTCTCGTGCTATGTTCAAAAAGACGTTCACAGTGAGGGGCAAACTAAAAAAAAAAGAACTATAACAGTTTGTTATCGTCACCAGACTTTTAACAAACTAGGTGCCTGTGTAACAAATCCGTTACACAACATCTAATAATTTTCTCTCTTAGCACGTGAGGCAATTGTAAACACCGTCTTCGGTGCGGGATAATACTGAAAATACAGCAACCACCTGACTTATTTGAACAGATTGACATCAACTTTTCAATGTTGTTTCAGAACATTCAGAAGAACATGCCTGACTGCTTAGAGGCGGCGGGGGCTACTGCCGATCATCCAGCTTCTGTGCGTTAGCGGCAACGAACTCCTCGCCTTGCTCGCCGCCACGCTGGATAGGCCATTTGTGTGACTCACGTTCAGGAGAATGGCGTCACACGTAGGTATGCCTAGCTCCTGTCTGTTGGTTACGGAGCGAGCGGAGTCATTCGTAGATTAACGGAAATTTCTGAGTATGAGCGGCCGGCCGGTCGTGCGGACGCTTTTGCGAGGCTTATATCTCAGCAACCACTTGACCGATTTACATGCGGTAATTTTTGTAGGGTAGCTTCATTCCTACCGAGTATTGGACTATTCCCGATGCATGTGGGTGACCCCTTATGCACGTGCCACGTCCAAAAACGAAGAGGTGTCCGTTTTGTAACAATGGCAATATCTCAGTAACTACTGGGCAGATTACGCTAAAAGTTGGCATGTAGGTAGGCACCCTTTAGGCAATGCATATCCATGTGCCACAGTTGGGGTGCTGCTGCACGTGCGCACGTGCAGGGGTTGATTCCAGATCTCGAGAACGAAAACGGATGAACCGATTGCGCTGAAATTTGGTACATGGTTATTGGTTAGGGAACGGTTAGTAGGGTGCAGTGCAAAAGTCAGCTGGGACACATTTGCGCGTACGCACGTGCAGAGTCTCGAGAACGGCCCACCCTCTCGCTCGCTCCGTTGGTCGCCCCAAAAGGCGTTTTACTGGTAGTATTATGGGGCCGGACAGTCCAAGATTACTTGGACAGTCTGTCTGCTGCTGCCTATTGCAGTGTTACGGGCCGGGCAGACGTCCGCTGCTGTCTAGTGGAGTGTTAGAAAGTCAGTGCCGCGGTATGTTTTAACCCTCGCATTTACAGGGCGTCTCATTAAGTTCGTTCTCACCCAAGTTTTACTGTTAGGGGTTCTCTGCCCTGCTGCGGGTCGATTTGCTCTGCAGCTTTGCCATCCTGGACACCTGGTACGCGCGCACCGGGTACTGCCCAACTTCGCGCTGCAACGCAAGATCCAATTATACACTATAACTCAAAAACTACTCATCTGATAAGACTGAAATTGTTACTGGAGGATTCAGAGCCCCTGATTACCCCTTAGACCAATTGTCGTCAAAATCCAAGAGATGAGGGTGTCAAATTAGAAAGAAAGTGGTAGGTACGATCTATCGTGGAATGCTCCAGCTCGGGACGGACGGGGAATGCGAGTCGGGGAGCATTCGTTTGGCTGTGGTTCATGTTATCAGGGTATAGTGTGCCAGTGTTCGAGGCGTCCAAGCATCGACCAAGATTCAGTCGAAAATACAGTGTTGTGATAGTGCACTCCTTGCGTTTCCCACGGATTTAATAGTCTATGCGGGTTTATCAACTGGCTACGAGAATGACATGGTTCCCATTTCCCAAGGCCATATGGTTCCTTGGGTTCTTCATTACAGTTGTTTTTAATAATTGCGAACCGTGCTTGTCATATATGGCTACCCCGCTGATGGATGCATTGATTAGTTGAGCGACGGTGACTTCGATGATTAGGTACTACGGACGTTCTGAACAGTTTTTGTTTTGTGTTTGTATTGTGTATTTTGTGTGCGTGCGTTTTTCGTGTCCAATGTCAAACCTCCGTGGAAGATACGAGGCGTGTTTTTAAAGGGACCCTCCCACCTTAAAAAAGTTAATGAATTGGCATAAAAGTGATGTACCGTGAATCAGAAAAAGCGAAAATGAACATCTACCAAATTTCACCGAAAAATATTCACCCGTTTTTGAAATATAAGACTTTTATTTTATAACGCGCGGTCAATGGGCTTGATGACGTCATCAGAGTCCGTTAGTTTTAAGAGATAGGGACTACGCTGGTCCCACCCTGCAAGTAAAGGGAAGAAATTTCTTGAACACTTTAAAGCTGCGGGGGTTGCGACCAGGATAAATGGTGGTTTCTGAGCCTGGCCGCAAACTTGGCTATCTCAACTCAAAACTAATGTTAAGGTGGGAGGGTCCCTTTAAGCATCTGTGACTCGAAAGTGTACTCGGTCTTGCGGTGTTGGGCAATGACTTCTCCCCGGATATTTGCCTCGAGTGAAATTCTGCAATCAAATGTGGAAACGTTTTTCTCCGAGACCGGTGGTGATATTGTCGCATTTTGGATGGTTCAATCGCACCACAAAGCAGGCCGGGGAGACAGTATCGGTGTTTTTTGGCTCTCCTGAGCTATGCCATATTGAGCGCAGCGTGCAGCTGCGCTCACGTTGTTTTCGAGGAACCTCTGCTGTGTGTGTGCGAGAAAAAGTCATCAACATAATTCTCCTTTGCGGATTAAAACCATCAAACACGTGAAACGATACGTATATTGGCAATACTAGGAAGCTAAATGGAAACAAAGTGAAACACTAATGCACGCTGAAAGAAAAAGAAAATACCGTTGGGATATGTATCCCAGAACAGAGACTGAAAACAATGCCAGGAAAGTAATTAACCGTCTCCATCATCATAAAGACCCTTGGATAACGAATAACGCGAATAACGAATAACGCGATAATGAAAGGAGCTCCAGGATACAGCTATAATCATTGGCTCCATATGATACTACTGTAGTGTGTAGTCCGAAAAGGGTTAAATACCTACAATTTAGATATATTTACTTTACAACACACACATCAAATAAAAGCGAGAGAAACTAATTAATCAGCCGAACGATCACACCGCGCCGCGAGCAGCGAGCCGAGAGTATTTCGCGTCACACGGTAGCGAGCGGGTCGTTTGACCTCCCGTCCAGCTAGAGTCCGCAAAATCGAACGCGGCGCCGGCACAGCTGGGCGCCGGGGGCGGTGCTGACGGCGGTCGGGGGGCACGCGCCGGGAGGGGCGGCTGACCCTCGGGCGGCGCGGCAGGAGTCACGGGCAGCACAGGCGGCACGGAGGGCACGGTAGGCGTCACGGGCGGCGCGGTAGGCGGCACGGGCAGCGCAGTATATGTAGTGTAGTCCGAAAGGGTTAAATACAATTTAGATATATTAACTTTATACACACATCAAATAAAAGAGAGAGAAACTAATTAATCAGCCGAACGATCACACCGCGCCGCGAGCTGCGAGCCGAGAGTATTTCGAGGCGGCGCGACCTTGAACTGAATGTAAACAGTGCGGAGAAACCGCAACCAAATTGCAGGCACTACACTACCAGCCATTTAGATCCCTTCCACTCGTGGGCACTTCAGAACGCGGCCATCCTCAGTTATCCACACAACAGTACTAGCAGTAACACCAGCTGGAGGGACGGATGGGGTTCGGATGGCGTTGGACTGGGGGGCTGGAGGGACGGATGAGGTTTGGATGGCGTTGGAGTGGCGGGCTGGAGGGACGGATGGGGTTCGGATGGCGTTGGAGTGGCGGGCTGGAGGGACGGATGGGGTTCGGATGGCGTTTGAGTGGCGGGCTGGAGGGACGGATGGGGTTCGGATGGCGTTGGAGTGGCGGGCTGGAGGGACGGATGGGGTTTGGATGGCGTTGGAGTGGCGGGCTGGAGGGACGGATGGGGTTCGGATGGCGTTGGAGTGGCGGGCTGGAGGGACGGATGGGGTTTGGATGGCGTTGGAGTGGCGGGCTGGAGGGACGGATGTGGTTCGGATGGCGTTGGAGTGGCGGGCTGGAGGGACGGATGGGGTTCGGGTGGCGTTGGAGTGGCGGGCTGGAGGGACGGATGGGGTTTGGATGGCATTGGAGTGGCGGGCTGGAGGGACGGATGGGGTTTGGATGGCGTTGGAGTGGCGGGCTTGAGGAACGGATGGGGTTTGGATAGCGTTGGAGTGGCGGGCTGGAGGGACGGATGGGGTTCGGATGGCGTTGGAGTGGCGGGCTGGAGGGACGGATGGGGTTTGGATGGCGTTGGACTGGGGAGCTGGAGGGACAACTGGGTTAGGGATGGTCTCGAAATCGGAGGGTGGCGGTGCCAGGAGCTCGGTCGCTTGATCGAGATGGGTTTGAGGGGGGGACTGGTCACCATCCTGATCCACGTCGCCGGTGGAGGTGACAAAGGCGGTGGCAGAGGTGTCTGTAGCGGCTGTATCGGCGGCTGCGACGGGCCTGACTGCAGATCCGGCAAAGGCGCACTTGCACTGCCCACACCGGAAACTACCAAAGCCCCTCATTCCCAGGATGCTCTTGGGCTCCTTGGGCTGGGCCGGGTGCACTTGTAAGATCCCTGAGGGGAAAGTTTCGGTTATTAGAATTTACCAAACGTCCTTGATTTGAGTGGGTAGGTACCAACACTGTCACAACAAGCTGCGTTACAAAAAAAAAAAACAAGCATATGGCATCTCAGGCTGATCGGTACCAGATTGGATACCTTTCGCATTCTTAGGATTGACTGTAAGCAAAAAAAAAACGTAGACAGTGACACACATCCACAACCGATTGTTATTTGTGGCGAAAATAAATAGCAGAACTCACTATAATGCAGGCAACAGGTTGAATTACACACAATAACTGTATAATCGTCCAGGAAACTTACTCCGAGCGAACGTCCGCATCAGCGCCTCCTGGTACTCGTTAGGCACGCGCTTGTTCATCGCGGAGTCCGTGAATGCGTCTTCCAAAACTTCGTCAGCAAACGTCTCGAAACGGAACGTTTGCCTTGACGAGCTGGGGTGAAGACGCACGCCAAGAAGTGCAATGTGGTGACCACTTCCTTGTAGGATGTGCACCTTAAACAAAAGATTCAGGCGTTCGTTACACACGCATACATTTTCCCCTCTATCATCCACCCCTACGGCCTATTTTTTTTTTTTAGAATCCGCTGTTCGAGCCCCTAGGGGGTCAACACAGCCCATGTCCCTCGTTCTCAATATATCCTAAGTATTGCAGATATCGATCCTCAAACTTTCAAGACCTCTTCGGACATCAATTTCAATTTTCACATAGGTATTGCGACCATGGGTAGAAAAATTGCATGCGTGACCCTTTTTATGCCTGGGGTCATCTCAAGTCATTCAAGTTCTCCAACATCTTTTTGCAATAACTTTTGACAGACATGCGAGAGCGATGAAAAAACCTTAGATGCGTTCAGGTCAACGGTACGGATCGACTGATATCAACGGTCAGGTCATGCCCTTGACCTGAGGTTGAATTTCCAAAATGACCTTTTAACGTCAAATTATAGTTCATTCGACGCGTCTTGATTAGGGGAACACGATGCTGGCAAAATAAACGCTATGCCTTGCATTAGTCCAAAGGTAATAAAAAACCTTGTTCACAAAACTTTTTGTTTTTCTTTTGCTCTCTGGAGGCCAAACTGTTGACCTGAGGTCAAATCTGAGGACACATCCCGGAATGAAAAGAGCTATCGAATGCGCTTTTCCGCAACGCTGTAGCTATTGGCTTACCGAGTTATGCGCCGGTGTTTTGAAAAAATTTTTGAAACAGGCAACATTTTACCTTTGACGACCTGACCTTTGACATGACCTAAAACATGAGCGAAGTGTTTTCGTCTCGATTTTGGACGCTCTCTCGAATGCCGCTAACCGCGTGTCACTACGCGGTGCATGGGGGCCGACTTTAACGAGGGGACGTTCATTGTTCAGACAAACACGCAAAATTCGTTGATACAGCCAATCCAATTACATACCTTCCTCTTAATAGCCTCGAACACTTTGTCCTGATTGTCATCGCGGAGCTTCTTGCCTTTCCTCCGCTGCTCTTTTTGACGAGCTACACGAAGAGCCTGCCGTTGTGCCTCCAAATCATGCCCACATGAGCATATCCTTTCTCTCCCCCGAACTCGTTGTCCACAGGATGCACACTCTTTCCCGGCTGAAACGAGAATGAACGGGTCAGGGATGGGGACTTTCTGTGAAGTTCAGATCCTTAACCCGCGCCCTGCTGGGAGGGGGGAGGGTGTGTGTTTGAACACCCCCCTTGTGGTTTTTCGCGAATATCTCAAAAACGGCGGCGCTCCGCGCCGCCGTTTTTGGTACACCTTATCATACATCAATTCTACACATGTTGTGAAAATTTCAGGACCCCCAGAAAAATCCAGGACCCCCAGCCGGGCGCTTAACACGCGCAGTGGAAGGGTTGCGAGTACTACGCCCAGTGGAAGGGGGGCGGATGTCGCCCCCCCCCCCTAAGATCTCAGCTCCCACTGGAGCTAGAAAGACGAAATTTGGAGGGTAGGTGAAGGCCCTAGGGAACTCTGTTGTGTGTGTATTTCATGACCCTAGGTCAATATCTTCAAGGTCAAATGAGGTCAAATGTGATCAAATCTGCCATATGAGCGACTTTTTTGCGTTTACACGCCGATAACTCAAAAAGTTACCGGCCGATTTTCTTTTTTCTTTCACTATACGAAAGAATATACATTTATGAGTATGTATGGTGAATTTCTAGTTAATCTAACAATAAATGTGGCAGCTAGAAGCCTGCTAAGGGTAAGATGTCGCCGGCTGAAGCGGGATCGGCCGACGCGGGAAACGCGGCAATCACAATTTTGTGTTTACACACTCATAACTCAAGTTGTTACCGGCCGATCTTCAAAATTCTTTGACCATGAGATTGCCTGTACATTTCTTAGTCTTCCCACAAAATTTGACGTGAATCGAATATAATCAGCGGTAAGGAGCGCGATGTAAAGACGGAACCGTCCCGCCCCGGCACAGTCTACAATTCAGGCGGCGCGTAACGGCTAGCGCCGAGCGCCGCCCCGCCGCCCCGCCGCGGCGGCAGGATGTTTGACTTTACACCGCTATTAAAAGAAAAGTTGTGACCTGATTTTCTAATTTCTTGCACGAGAAGATCCGCAGTTCCATTCTGGACAGGTAGCCGAAATTTCACATTAATATCATGTTTGCGGCGCGAGTTATTGGCGAAAAACAGGAGGGGTGGGCGGAATCCGCCCCCCCCCCTTCCACTGCGCGTGTTAACCCCCGCCCCGCTGTGTTTTTTCCTGAATAGCAAGAAAACGGCGGCGCGCAGCGCCTGCTAAATTTTTAGTACCTTCCCGAGCATCAATTTGACATCTTCACACAAAATTTCAAGTATTAGGTTACCTTAGGTCAGGAGTTATTGAGGTCATGCTCAAGCAAAAATGAGCAAAAAACATGAAATCTTGAAACGCTCACAAAAGCCACAGTTAGCATGCAATTTCAAAGTTCTTTATATGGTCATGCAGACAAAAGACGGCGCTACAAAACTGCTATCTCGGATTATCAAATTTCTGGGGTTTTGACCCCCAAAATTTCAAAAAGTAGATTTTTTAGAAAAACTAAAAAAAATCCCAAAATGTTTCCGAATTTCAAAAAACGAAATATATGTGATAGCCCCTGCGCTCTTCTATATACATACCAAATTTTAGATCGATACCTCCTTTTTTGGCCAAGTTGTAGCAAAAAAACTGTTCAAAATTGATGACGTAAAATTGTTGAACTCAATTTTTAGCAATTCTAGACCACGTAGCGCAAAACAAAGACCACCATTGAACTCCCCGTGACGAGCTGCATCGAATCGATACCCATTGTATGCAAAAATATCAACTTTGAAATTTGACTAAATTTTACCTGACCTTGACCTGACCTTCACCAGGACATAATCTAAACTGACCCCAAAGGCTGCCTGACCAGCATAATCGCATTTGGCATATAAAATGGACCATGAAACATGCATCACATGATATTTTCATATTGTGACCCTCGGTGACCTGACCTCTGTGACCTGACCTGGTATCAGTGACCTGAAATAGCAAATTAAGTGTTTGACGAACATTTCCCCATCGATGATTTTCAATGAAATGCATTTTACTCGATTTTAAAACGCATTTCTTGAAATGCCTGTAAACGGTGAAAATTTTACATTTGACCTGACCTGTGACGTCATCGGTTTGACCTAGGTCAATGAAATTGGGTCACAAGGTAGTTCCCTTTTGGGGCTATCCAACACCGTTTGTCGCTTGTTGCTATGTTGCGTGGTTCTCGAGATCTTAGGGGGGAGGGCAAATTGCCCCCCCCCCCCCAACACTGGGCGCGTTGCTCGGCAGACCCCAACGGGGCGCGGGTTAACCAATTTCAGGGGGAGAGATGCAGTGGCACGGGAACAATGTCCTGAATGAGGAGCCGAGGGCACACCTGACAATCCCCAGCATCGTTTCAAACCGATCAACCCAGGGTACCCTCAAAACTAGTTTAATTACCGGTCTTAGGTCAATCATTGTTCACCTTTTTTACCGCCCATAACACAAAAGCGAAAATGTATTCACAGTTACAGTTTATTTCGTCTCCTAGCTGGGTCAAATAATCACCTCGTTGTGACCTGGAACTAAGGTTTCATGATAGGGATTTTGAATAGGCACGAATATTGATAACGATAATTGATAACGTGATAACCTATAGTGTGAGGTGAAATTCGCCCCGCTCTAAATCCCAACTTATAGGTAGTCGTGAAGATTAAATAGAACCTAGCAAAAACAATTTTTACATGGCATTGACATGTTTGAAACACGAAGGTTAAAAATTTATTTACTAAATAGGTAGGTAGGTGCATAAAAGTCACACCGCTTACCTACTGAAAATATTTGTCGCATCGACCATTCGAAGTTTCAATGCTCAATCTAAGTTGTATCTTAATCACTTTTTGATTTAAAGTTGGGCACGTTTTATTTCCTGGACCACCCGGTAAATAAGCATCTATGTTACTTACCTCGTTTGGGTTCGCTCCCCATCTGACTGCCCGGCGTAGATCTTGCGGACATTGCCGATCCGGTCGCTTATCCCAACTCCTGGCGAATGATTGGAACAACGTGAGTTATTCCCACTCTGCCACTGCGAAGAGAGAAAAACGTCACGGAATGTTTGCTAATGACGTCATGTAAGCTAAAATGTATATATTTATTAGGTACGCGTATGTCACTGATACAGGTAACGCGAAAAAGGGCTACCTTCGTGAAATATGAAGATATCGATGTTTTTTTCATTCTGACATTATTTTTCATGTAGGTAGGTACCTTTTAAAACAAGGTGCCGCTTCCAGATCTCGAGAACGGCTGGGCCGATTGTGCTCAAATTTGGCACATCGCTAGAGACCGGTTAGTAGGGTGCCGTGCACAAGTCAGTTGGAGGTATTCCCTCGTTATTTACATTAATAATGATCCTTCAACAAACATTAAAACAGATCAACTTAGGTATATCAATATATTCTTTCGGGAGCTGCTGCCGCTTTCATCAGCCGTGCCAAGTATAGGTACCGTTAAAAAAGTATGTGGTGACTCTGTCTAGGGTACTGACCTTTTGATTGTAGCTTGGATGGTGCGGTCGGGTTCGAGTTTTCCAGTTGGTACACTTATTGCGCAATTACTTCGTCTTTCCGCCACTGCTTATGCCGCTGTGGTGCGAACTGACCACCGATTAGCAGGGAAGCACCGTCTTGCATTCCAAAGTCGTAGCTAACGCCTTACCAACGCGCGAGATGCGCCCGGTATGGTCCCGCAGTCCACGATTGGCTGTCTCCTTGAGGGGGCGGGATTTATCCGAATGGAGAGAGTGTGCGGTAGCCGCCAGGGGTGGTCCCATAGCAGGGGTGGAGAATTAGGGGTTTTGGGGGTGCTCGAGCACCCCCTGAAATTCAAAAGTCATCATATAATAGTGCTCCAGGGGTGCTTAAATTACGTCTGCGACTCAAACTGTTTTGCGTAAGTCGCGAGGAGAGTGATGCTGCTGAAAAACGAACCTATGTGCGTTTCTACGCAAGAATTCGACGATTCTATTCGCCAGGTGCTAGAAAAGCACCCGCTGGGATTATGACAATTCTCGCATTTTCGCATTTTCGTTCCCATGTTTGGGAACGATAAACCCAAATATGGGAACGCCATGTAGGCATTGTTTGGTACGCCTATACCTAATGCTAACACACTCTCACAAAGAAAGGAATTGTTAACTGACAGCAGAAAGCTGGGTGACCATTCTGTGGTTACGTATCAATGGTCATCTCGATCTGCAGAGCAGACTTCATAAACAGTAAAGGTACAGTCCAAGGTACCGGACAGCGTGGCGCCGGGCCGACCACGGATACTCTCATGCGTGGGTGACCGAGCGGCGCGGGGGAAGTCCCTGGCTGGTGGGTGGGTGGGGGGGGGGGGGGCGGAACGAGGGGCAGACCCCGGCGCCCTACCAGTAGAACCGTTTCACAAGGCTGAGGACTGGCCCCCAGACCGACAATAGTTTCCGCGCCCCTGGTGCAAACAGACGTGCACCCGTGATCCCGCAGCGTCCGCCGGCCGGCGCCCGCCTGTGGCTCCCCTCCCCTCAGAATACGACACCGTGGCTCAGGTGATCATTCAACTCAGCCGCGACGTGACTATGGAAGGTTAGGAGTCAGGACCCTGCCCGGCCGTCACCGAACGTGGCAGGAGCCGAGGGTGGGACGGGGAGCTAGGAACCGTAGGAACACACATAAATCGCCCCGTCAACAGACGCACGGCAGCCTGGTGCGGGGGTGACTTGAGACGTTTCCGCCGGCCGCCACCGGCCGCTATTAGCAGCGCTGACGCCGGCCGTCGCGTCGGCAGCCGGCGGCGGCTCTGCCACTCCTGAGCACTGAAGCAAGCAGTTTTGTAGCAGGGGCGGAAGGAAGGGGAGGGGAGCGTAGAAAGCCGGAAAGGGGAGCAAAAAAGCCGAGCCCGTGCTTTCATGAGGCACACTCTCTCGGTCAGGCTCGGTCAGTCTCGGCCAGTTACTGCTGCAGTCGGGAGTGAATGCTACAACTCCGGCCTGTCTCGTAATCAGCATTCAAGAAAATACATCGACGGCTCAGAATTACACACTGTACAGTGTATTCCGTGACCGCAGCGATGTTACAAAAACTTCATCATATCTGAGTAATATCCCTGTTCTTTAGGGACATCCTAGGCCCCAGCCAAGATACCATCCTAGCATAGGCGGCGGAACGGGGAGGGCACCGGGGCACCGTGCCCCCCTTTGATTTTGGCATTTTAACATTAGCCCTATGGGCGTTGCATGGAAAGAATTGCATGCATGCGCGCCACGTCCGTCAGCGTACCACACGACAGGACGATATGCTGAATGTCACCACCATTAGAACGGAATCAGGCAGGAGGCGCTTTTTATATTCCGCTGTGACAGCTTTTAATAATCTGCCACAAATCATTCGTGACACGAACACGCATGGTGGTAATGTGAATATCGTGAGAGCCCTCACTGTAAAAAACCATAACACGCTTCGTGTTATGTTATATGGACAAAAACGACTCGGTATAACCGTGTGATGTTACACGTTTAGTGATGTTATCTTACACGGAAAGGCCGTGTTAGGTAACACTAGAACGAGTTCTAAGTCTATCGTTTGCAGTGTTCCGCTACTCGCTAAAGACGTGCTTCGAGTTTGATAACTCGTCATTGACTTTCTAGTGTATTGAAAGGCGTGCTACAATACTCACATTAAACATGTAAGGTGTTAATTAGCTACACTCGTGTTACTGTGCTCTGCTTCGGAATCCTAATAGTGTTAACATATCGGAGTATAAGATGTTATTGAGCACGCTAAAAACGTGCGTGTTTCGTAGCTCGGTTCGTGTTCATATACTTCCCGTCCAGTACCTACCTCCTTTTAGAATGTATATTAACTCAAAATGAGCTGCATTACACGATTCAATGATCATGTTGAATGAATATATAAATATATAATTCATGTGGACTTATTATTACGATGAAAGGCGTACCTTCTTTGATGCAAACGGGGCTGTAACAGGCCGAGTCGCGTTTAAACAGAGGTAACGTCTTCAATCGCAATAAATCGACATGAAGTATACATTCATACAATTAATTCCACATAATTATTGAGGCGTGTAACACAGTTCGTTTTGCTTTAACACACATCCTCGTTAGCCAAGTTCATTAAGTCTCAGAGTACAAATCTATTCATTAGGTATATATTTCAACAGGTTGTTCAATGTTCACAGTAAACATGCGCTCTGAGCCTCATCAGCAGTAACGCCACGGTGGACGAGCAGTGGACAGTGGTCCTCCGCGATCAGCAACACTAGTATTGTGAAAAACACCTATGAACAACACGTCTTTGGGCTTTGGGCCTGGCAATGGGAGAGTACAGGTGTCGTTTCAAATGCATTCAGTGGCGGGGTCTTCAGCTTGTCGAGCCGATCGTCGCAACTATTTTTTAACGACTTTGCGGTCGACATTTGGGAGAGCTCTTGCGTCAATACTAGATGGGAGTTCTGAGCGCTGGGGCATTGGATTTTCTCATTGAACGCGGGGAACATTGCCGCTCAAACTAGGAGGCGCACACTCAGAGGCGTGTTGTCTTCGGAGATGGCAGCCTCGCTCCCCTCCGCCCATGACACTAGCGGTACGAGAAGAAATTCTAAAAAGCGTCCAACTTCTCCTGGTCCGTGTCTGAAATAAGAAAGAAATAATGTTAGTAAATGACGAAGTGCATGAATGAACGGCATAATGATACACACCTTAACTTTCGCACGGGTGGGGGGGGGGGGGGGAGGGTTGGCCACACCTGCCAGTTTTTTGCGAGTGTAAAAAAAAAACGCGGCCAGGCGCTGCGAAAGTTGGTATAGCTTATAGCTTATAATACATCAATTTCGCATCGTGAGTAGGGTGAATAGGTCAAAAACGCCCCCATTAAGCGCGAAACCTTCTGACACTCAACCCAACCCAGATTACTCAAACCTTTGGGCACCATCATGTAGCTCATTCTTTTTACTACGCTTTGAGACCAAGAAAAGACACTTGCGTGTGGTATTTAACCCCCCAAAAAGGTTTCCGCATACCCTTACAAAAGGGCGTTTTGCCCCACACCCTGGGTAATACGCCCACACCCATGTGCAAAGCGCCCCCACCCCATCCATCAACAGAAAATGATGAACATGGCAGAACTTGACGTCATTCTGACGTCATTTGTGGTCAACCTATCATAGCCTTTGGAATAAAATGTTGTTGCAATGTGTAAAATGGATGCCCGGAGGAGTCCTGAAAGTTTGGTGACGATATCTGCAGTCGTTTAGGATATATCAGCAAAAAAGGACAGGGAGAGGCCTTTTCGGCCCCGACCTACAGGGCGCTACCCTGCACTCTCACCACCGTGCAAAACGCCCCCCTTTCAGAAAACTGGGGGCGTCTTGCCCCATGCATCGAGTAGGCGTCTTTCCCCATCCACTCCATTTCCGGTCAACAAAATATTGACAAAAAACGGGCCACTAACGCCGCAGCATAATAAATTCAACAGAATGACAATAAAACGCAGTTTTGAGTGATGTGCACAATAGCAAGTTTTGTGATATAAAGAGGGCATCAAAAGCTTAGGAATCTTCTGTAAAAACAACAAAAACAACACCCAAAACCAACATCAGCACCTACCCACACTGCTCCTCAAGACGCAGGACCGGAAATAGAGAACTACGTAAACAAGCAGCTGACTGTTCTGAAAGACAGGATAAAACACCTATCCGTCGATAAGATCTACGATTTTTTTAGGGGAGGCGTTTAACCCAGGGGTGCGTTTTCCCCACAGTTACCCTACCTAATATTTTCGACCCCGGCTCACATAAGGTCAGGTCACAGGCCAAGTTAAGTGATAATGCCTCTTTAAACTTTGTGATTCAGTCATTTCTTAAGTATATTCGTACATCCCAGAAGTTTGAAACTCATGCTATTGCATGAGCTTGTCAGTATGAACAATTTGCATCTCTGAATTTTGATATCTGTGACCTAAGGTTAGGTCGATTTTGTGACTTCTCCATTGACTTTAGGGGAGAGCGGGGAGAGTTGTATCATGTCCAAGTTGTATCAGGGCGAATTGTGCCAAACTTATCCAATAGATAGCGCTCGTGACACGACCAGCCGACGAGGTTTTCCGGGCGCCATCTTTCCCTGTTCTGTCGTGTGGCTGGGTGGACGCGTCTCGAGTTGAGAGCCGATTTTATGTTTTTTTTAATGTCATTCTAAAAAAATGAGTTGCAAGAAAATGTGTGTTTTGGGCATTTAGATGTGCACGAATTTGAAAGATCTCCGTAGCCATGGTGAGGGTAGGTTCTAAGGCTGCGTGAGTGAAAATGGATTTCTCCAGCTGTCCGCTGTTTTTGAGCACGAGCATGTTTTTTTCCAAGATGGCGGCGAGGTACATGTTGTATCAGAGCCGGGTGGGGTATGTTGTAACGTGTATGTATGTATGGGTATGTTGCTTTTGATCGCGAAAGCTAAGCCCTGTCTCGCGTTTGTAGGTAGCTAGTCAATACTCGTTCCATTTCGGCACAATGTGTTGGCTTTTTTGCTCTTAACGGGCCACTTTTGCATCTAGTCTGTTAATGTTTCGTCCGTTTCGATGTTTCGTTCGGATTGCATTGACCTAAGCTTGGTCTAATAAAAGTGAAGCCTTTGAGCATATACATTGTATTAATACCATTTAATGTTGCTGTTATGTTCAAAACCAGTAGCAAGCACACTCCCTGAAACGTGAAATACCTAGTGATACAAATTACCCCACCATGTGATACAACTCACCCAAGCCATGGGGCAAGTTGTATCAAAAACATTGTTCTATTCGGCAGACCGTAGCAGAAAAACTGGTAGAGGTAGCGGAAAAGTTACTTTGCACAAAAAAGCAGGAGAATCAAGGAAGGAGATAGTATGGAAATAATGAGTTTATCACGGATAGTTACGAGGTTATGGGTCTCGGAGTAAAAACTGATACAACCCACCCCACTCTCCCCTATAGGCAATGGAAGAAAATTGAAATCCGCTTCTTTTGGCCAAAATACCCTCAAACTTTTTTTTTTTTTGATTTTTGAGCCTCTTGATTGAAAATCTATTTTGTGATTTTTTCCCGTGAACAACTTTTTAACTTTTTCGACGGAAAATGGCCGAGTATGACCTCAGCTTGACCCCCATAACTCATGACCCGAGGTGACCTAGGACGCATTTTTCAGGAGTTCAGTGAAATTGATGTCCGGAGAAGTACTAGAATCGGCGAGTTAAAAATTACGGTCGTTTCAGCGTAAAACAACAGGGGTGCCTCCCCCTTCTCCAGCGGGTCGCGGGCGTCGCGGGTTAAGCTCGCACCCTCTACTGAAGTGACTGTTCCTTGACCTGTCACTTCGTGAGGTAGTGAGGTCCAGCCCAGCTCTTTCCGGAGGCCCGCTGTAGACTTCCTTCGAGGTGTGTCAGTGATAAGGCGTGCCGCCCTGTTCTGTGCTTTCTTTAGTCGGGACTTGTCAAATGCTGTCAGATGGCAATCAAATATTGAGTCACAGTAGTCAAGATGGGGCTGGACATGTAAGATTTGAAGTAAGATTTGTCGTGTAAGTAGAGATGCTATTGGGAAGAGAGGACTCGTCGTGCGGTAAAATTTTAATAGGATGTTATTGACGTGAGATTTAAATCTCAGATCAGTTGAGATTGTTACTCCAAGATGTTTGTGGAAATCGCGAATGGGAATTGGTGAACCGCCAAATTCCAGGCTTGGAATGTGTGTGTGTGTTTTTTTTTTGTTACTCAGCGTTTGTTGGACTGCTTTTGTAGCATTAAATGTTATTATCCAGTCGTCTCCATAGCGTTTGATGCGATTTAAGTCGATTTGTGCAGTGATTTTTCAACTTCATGAAAATTATTAAGACTGTGACCGGCATGTAAAGAGCTGTCATCCGCAAAAATAGCATTTCATTGTTGGTAACGCTACTGAGCCCATTTAGATACATTATGGCCAGCAGTGGGCCTAGGATGGATCCCTGTGGCACTCCTGCGGATAGCTCACGCTGGGTGGACGTAGTTTGGCCTAGCTGGACTACTTGTCTTCTGTCACTTAGAACAGAGTTTAGCCAATCAAGTTGTGCACTTCTTACACCAAATTCTTTATCACATTTTGCTAGCAGCCCCTCATGCCAAATCTGTTCGAAATATCGGTGATGGGGGAGTGGTTGGGTGCATTACTAGGCAGGCAGCAGTTTCCAGCATTAAAATCGCCAACGAGGACCAGAAGATCGGGACTATGCTGTTTAGCTTCAAGGACACAGTCAGACAAGTAATCTATAGGAATTGAGAGGGATTGTCGGTCGCTAGTGGTGTTCGGTGGAAGATAAATTGAGCAGAGCAGCAGCGTCGTTTTATGGAATTTGATTTTCACCCATATAGGGTTTCAAAGAGCTCACACTCAAGGTGTGATATTTGCGAAAAAGGTAGTGTGTCTCTGACATATACAGTCCTCCGCCCTTCCTTGTCCTGTTTTTTAGTAGGGTAGACCGGGGCAAGTCGCCCCGCCGAGGTAAAACGCCTCACCGATGTTTCTCGGAACTGGCAGAGTTCTGGGGAAACATCATCTCTTCTATAAAACGTGCACTATATGATCATTACCTATATGAGCAGACTGGGAAGAAATTGTGATGACTCTTTCGGGAGATATAGCCAAAAATGTGTTTTTTGAGTGATTTTTATGTTTTGTTGTCAGATTATGTATCATGGCGTTCTTTTATGGTCCACATCAGGTTAACGACTTTTATATGTTTTGAACAACTATTGTCTAACGCTTATCATGCCGGGTTGGTTCGTGTTAAATTATGTCTTGCTGGAGTGCAAGGCGTTGTTCTCTGACCGAACTACGTGATGGGGTAAAACGCCCCAGTAGGTCGCGGGGCAAAAAGCCCCTGGGGCGTTTTACCTCATGTGTTGTTCGGGCTACCCACTTTCTAATGTTCGATAGCTGGCGAACAGTACGTTTCTATGCCTTTATGTGTATTTTTCTCAGCAACTGGATGGCAAAGGAAGTATTTTGTTAACATTTGCATTGCAATAATTTATTATTTGGTCTTATGAGGTAGGTGAAAAACCTGCTCATACAATAGTGTCATAGCTGAACACCTGACAGGATGGAATGTGCTAACTTCAGTGCCGTGCCTCCAGAGGTCTAACGGACCTCTCACATAAGATTTAGCCAACTACCATGTTAAATCTTTAATCTAAAGTATGGGGCTACTTGCCCCAGGCCGTGGGGCGTTTTGCCCTGGGGTTGGGGCAAAATGCCCCATTTGCAGTTGCTTCACAAATCACTTCCTAGCTTGGAGTCCGATCATAAGTGAATGAGTTTGAGGGGTGCAATTTAAAGTAAAATGTCCAAAGAACGCATTGAGTACAAATTTGGCCTTCCAGGTGATGTGGGACAAAATTTATGTAGCAAAATAAATTATCTGGGGCGTCTTGCCCCAGGCTACCCTAATGGTGCATGAAAACCTTTCAGAGTAAAGACTGGAATGTATAGTGGTGTCAAGTTTTGTTTCAGATAGTGCTAGTATGCTAATATCGTTAATGTCAAGGTATAGCTTTGAAGCTCCTGTAGCCTTTCGTTGGCAGTGATAGAGTTGATATTGCGGAGATGTTTTAACACCATCGCTTCGGAGCGTGCCAGTTACTGGTGGCATTGTGGGCACGGGAAGGCGCTTCGGCTGGCGGCGGGTGGTGAGAGAACAGTTAACATAAGACAATATGCAATGTGGGCTATGGCTTAACTTTTGGCAAGATGACACTGATTTTGAGAGATGAGCAAGTACATCCGCATACTTTCGTCTCTGTGCATCAAGAAAGCGGAGACGATAGACATTGATAGCTCCGAAACGTTAAAGCATAGAAGAAATGACTACGACGACTGGGCACAGCTATCGTTAACTCGTGCATCGTTGTCAGGTGGGAAATCATATCAAACTGAGCACAAGACAATATATGATGGGCAATATGTATTGTATTGTATTGTATTGAACAATCATGAGCGATCCACATTCTGAAAGTGCGTGGCGATTACTGCTCAGTGGGGCATTCCACGTCAAATCAAACACCGAAATCCGTCATCCCCTTCGATTTTTCTGAAAATTTGTAGGCAGACTGGGCATGGTTCAAAACTGAGTTACGTATAATATTTTCGAAATTTGATAAAGTATCGCTGAGATATAGGTCATCGAATATAGCCAAAAATGCCACACATCAATTTTTTAAATGTATATAACTCTGGTTCCTTTTCTGGTATCAAAATGATATTAACAGGGTCTTGTAGCCAATTGATAAGGCTTTGATTCGGCAATTTAATTATAAAATTAAATTGAAGTGACCTTGAAATGCATTTGACCTTGAATTAAAACAGAAAAATTTAAATAGCAAAAAACACGTCACCTTCGATTCGGGTAATTTTTACATATTATGTCCGTCACAATGTTCCTAACCATCTGTGAAAAAATTGGAGTGGGCCATTCATAACTCTCGCGGCAAACGCCGTTTTCATGCATCAACACCACGCAACCGCGCGTGACCTTGAAAGACAGAGTCAAGACATGCTTGCTTGTGTACACTTTCTGAAATGAATTATTGCTGATTAGTGATATCCCAAACTCTGCGAGAATGGAAATACATAGTCATCGTAGTCAAGCATTCAAGTTCCATAGTAAAAGTGTATCAGGCAAACGGTATTTTGCGTTGAATTTTGAGCCGTGTGGAAATGCATCATGAAGCCAAAAATTCAACGAAAACATTATCACGCAACGATATCTTCACGTCTTTTTATCTTCACTTTACGAAAGAATATACATTTTTGAGTATGTATGGGGAATTTCTAGTTAATCCAATAATAAATATGGCAGTTATAGACCTGCTAAGAGTAACATGTCGCCGGCTGAGGCGGGATCGGCCGACGCGGGAAACGCAGCAATCACAATTTTGTGTTTACACGTTCATATTTCAATTGTTTACCAACCGATTTTCAAAATTCTCACACCATAAGATTGCCTGTACATTTCTTAGTCTTCTCACAAAATTTGACGCGAATCGAACGTAATCAGCGGTAAGGAGCGCGATGTAAAGACGGAACCGTTCCGTTCCGTCCCGGCACAGTCTACAATTCAGGCGGCGGCTAGCGGTCGGCGCCGGCTGCCGAGTCGCCGCGGCGACAGGATGTTCACTTTACACCGCTATTACTAGACCAGTTGTGAACCGATTTTCTTCTTGCTTGCACGATGAGATGTGCAATTCAATTTTGGACAGGTAGCTATAATTAATTTCGCATTAATACTATGAGATATTGGCGAAAAACAGGAGGGGTGGGGCGAAATTCACTCTTCCCCCTCCACTGCGCGTGCTAACATTCGTTTGCATATGTGCCATTTTCTTCAAAACTTATGAATGGCCCACTCTAATTTTTTCACAGGTTGTTAAGAATATCGTAGGCAATAATATATATGAAAATTAGCCAAATCGAAGGTGACGTGTTTTTTGCTATTTCAATTTTTGTGCTTAAGAACAGAGTTAAGCAAATTTCAAGGTCATATATTTAAGTAGGTGCAATTCTAAACAAATGCTTAAGAAATTACCTAAACAGTAAGGTTTATTTCATTCAAATCAAACAAGTACAACCAAAGTTATGGTCGTTCAAAAATATAAAGATGCAACATTTTGTAAAAATTCGATGCCCTATATTTAGAAGACCTGTGGTCAGAATGTGCAAAAAACATCAATGTAATGTTTTTGGCGACACAGGAACTCGCTCACAAATTTATAATGAAATCGCTGATGGTAAGGTGCAAAACAGCCGATTTTTGTTCGATTTGACGTGGAATGCCCCCAGTGCAATATACACAAGGTCATGTAAAGTGAGTGACTTGGTTATGTTAACACTGGACGCATGTACGGCCGGCGCTGTGCGAACCGGCACCGGAAACCCAGCCCCAGCCGGGAGGGCGGGGGGGGGGGTGCCGGCCCGTCTGGGAGGTGGGGTGTCACTACTCACAGCGTAGGCCCGGTGCCGGCTCGTCTGGGAGGTGGGGTGCTCACTACTCACAGCGCAGGCCCGGGGGGGGGGGGGGGGTGCCGGCCCGTCTGGGAGGTGGGGTGCTCACTACTCACAGCGTAGGCCCGGCTCGCCTAACGGTCACCGCTCGGGAATCGTTCCCTGTCGACACGCCCACTGTCGGAGACGGCGGGGTGAGCAGCTGATTGATGAGGTGTTGCCTGAGTCCGAGTATTTGCGCAGCTGCGCATACCGTCCTCATAGTGCCTTCGATGGTCGGCTGGTTAGCTCAGCGGCGGGGGCCGTCCCCTCGGCCGCCCCGACCGGCGGGGGACCTCCCGCGGCGGCGCTCGGTCACCCACGCGTTGATGGCGTCAGTGGCCTGCCAGGCGGGCCCCGACCCGCGGCGCGCCGAGCGGGCTGGCTCGGTCTCCTGTGGTCGGAATTCCCGAAAAGCGTCGGCTCCCACGATATCTTCAAGGTCAGCTGGCTCTTTGATTGAGACTGCAATGTCTCCCTCTGTCTTCTTCACGCGCACACAGCCGTTGGCCGTGTAGGCGGCCCACAGAGAATTTCGTTTCCGGAGCTGCCTAGCCAAGAAGAATAGGTGCTGGTTCTTAGCCGTCAGGCACTCTGACACAAAGATGCGGCTAATTACTGACCGGGTCAGCACCGGATGGCAACCCACCTTTTCAGCCGTCAGCTCCTTTCGCTTATCGAATAGTTTTTTTCGAGCGTTTATTGTGGCGAATTTGGCGATGATCGGCCGTACCTTGCCAGTGCCTGGTTGTGGACGTCCAAGGCGGTGGGACCGGTCCAGGCTGTCGGCCGACAGATTGAGACCGGCAGCCCGGCCGACGTCCAGCACCAGGTTGTCTGTCGCCTCACCGTTCGTCTCCGGCACCCCGGTGATCAGCAGGCTGGTGCGACGGTTGTACGCATCCAGATCTTCGATGCGCCGCTCAGCTTCCTCGAGCCTGTTTGCATTTTTATCATTGTGGGGGCATAATTCAGGATTGTGGGTGTATCTGCCGCTGCCCCTACAAAGAGATGTAGGGGACACCCCTGCCGAACGAGGTTCTCGGATAGTTAACGGCCAACATTAATCAACTCATTGGCTCGATTAACTTGTGTTATGTGGGTGGTGTACCTACGTCATTGCCGTTCCTTAGCCCTATTACTGGTGAGGGTTGGGGGGGGGGGGGGGGGTGGTGCGAATCGGCCCCCACCTGTTTTTTTTTCTCGACGGAAAACGACCTAAGCTAGGGACTCAAAATTTGGTGACTTTTCCTTGCTATTCATTGGGCACATTGTCAAATTTTTAAATTTCTATCTTGCGCAGAGGCGTCTCCAGGACGATAATACATCAGCATCGTGGTCTTCGCCCAAATGACTCGCTTCACGAATAGGACCCCCCAATTCCCAGTGCTCTGGAGCCGCCCCTGGTAAAGTTATGAACTTGAAATTTTCAGGGAATGTGCCCAATTTAGTTTTATGAAAAGTCAGAAAATTTCAGCATCGTAGCTTCAGCGGTTTCGGAGATATTCCCGAAAAACCTGAGGGGTGGATGAAAACAACCCCCGTGCCACTAATAGGGTTAACTCCGCCTCCGGAGTCGGAGTCGGTAAGATTTTGGCGAGTCCGACTCCGCAGCCCTAATCTTGAGTAGGTATACAGGAAGATGTGTGCAAAGTTTCGTTTCTCTATCTCGTCGCGTTAATTACGATGCTATCGTCACAGAAATAAAGGGGGGGGCCGGGGGACAACTACATGCCCCCCCCCCCCTAACGGCCGGCGGGTGGCGCGGAGGCCCATCGGCCGCCGGGTTAAATATACCTATGATTCTTCTCGTACTGCTGTGAAGGTTAACATTATTCCGTTTTATATCTTCTGTCGAGGGGCGTCTCCTGTCGCTGTCATCGTGAATGGGGCCGTCCCGACGCCGGGACGTACGGGGAAGTCGGTCCAGAGCCACTGCACCGCGCTGTTTGTGCGAGTAAGCCGTGGGCTACCGCTGCAGATCAAACCATGGTTGACCAAGGAGCGGACCTGAAGGGGCCCGCCTGCGCGGTTGGCACCGAGCGGGTTAAGCTGCGTCGGGTCCTCTCGGTGGGGCTGGCCTCCCCAGTCCCTGACATGCGTGAGGCCGGGGTGTCGTCTGTGATTGATGAGGTATTATCTGGTGGCGGGTCCGAGGTTTGCGCTGCTGCCTGGTCCCTTGTACAAAGGACGCATCTACGATGTTCGGCTCAGCGGCGGGGGCCGTCCACTCGGCTGCCCCGGCCGGCGCGGCGAGGGACCTCCCGCGGCGACGCTCGGTCACCCACGCGTTGATGGGCCAGGCGGGTCCCGACTCCCGACCCGCCGCGCGCCGAGCGGACTGGCCCGGTCCCACGACGCCGGAATTCCCTCCGCAAACTCTAAAATGCTGCACATATTGTAAAAGCACAGGAAGTGTTTCCTCTTCAGCGGACGCATAATGTTATTTCTTCCCTACTTGAACAAATCAGGTCATCTAGACAGGGCAATGTGCATAATAGAAGTGCAGTATGCCGGATACAATCCCTCTTACATATTTAACCAGACAAAGTAGTTGCAACGTTGTTTGTATTTATACCGGTGGGTCCGTATCCACAATTTTATTCCATACACAGGTCGAGAGAGTAGTAATGGAGGTAAGTTAAGTTGTAAGCAAGAGAGAGCGAGAGCGAGAGCGAGAGCGAGAGCGAGAGCGAGAGCGAGAGCGAGAGCGAGAGAGAGAGAGAGAGAGAGAGAGAGAGAGAGAGAGAGAGAGAGAGAGAGAGAGAGAGAGAGAGAGAGAGAGAGAGAGAGAGAGAGAGAGAGAGAGAGTTTATTTGCACGCTCGAAAGCCAATTATTGTCAGAAATCAGGTACACACAAGGACACATTATCATCCACACCGCCAACCAGAAGAGTTTACCGCTGGCAAAACACCAATACGGGCGAGGGTTAACGTGTAGTTGGATAATGAACGGGGATCCATTCTTCGGCACAGCTTAACTTCCGGGACCAGTCTCCATATTTTTTATTCTATGAATGAAAAGATCTTTTGGCTACTGCGCATCTACGCGATTATGTTACAAAAATAATTAAGTATGAACAATGAACATAAGTAACGCATGCCTCAGGTCAAGGTAAGGTTTACGCCACTCAGGTCACGGACTCAGTCGAAGCCGAAGGTCATATTGCGTATCATTCGATTTGGCAGGTCTTCCCAAGTCCACTGGCGACTTTTCCGACTCGCTAACTCAATTTAATCGGGACTTATAATGAAAAAATCGTGAGAGTCATAATGAAAAAATCCTATGACTTTAGAGATGTAATAAATGACGTTACGTAAGCCAACGATGCAAAAACGAAATATTGGACCTTGCAAGGAGGGCAAAAATAACAGTCCATATTTCCCTCCGACTTATAACGGCGAGGTCACGTGACCAGCTTGACCTGACCTTGCGCAATGGGATTCCTATAGATAAGTGAACAGTGTGCATCGTCATTCGCACAAACGGTTGCGCAGCACAAACACCATACGGAAGCAGTATTACAAGACCAGCACTGGCAGCATAAAAATACCTTACAAGCAAATGAAACTAAAACCGGTACACCCCCAAGTCAAGCTTGAGTCAGCCCTTGCACAAGATGGTCGATTAGGCAGCCATGCCAAGCCGAGCGAGTTTATGGTAATTTATAAATGTTGCAACCGGCAGAGTTCTGAGTAACAGAAACACTCCTCACAAACGTAATGTGGAGATGCAGGCCATCTTCGCTCAATCCCTTGGTCAGGAGTCGGTGAATGAGTTGGTTAAACATACATAGTGATTCGCATGTTAAGTAAACATACATAGTGAGTCGTAGACCACCATTCGATTGGTAGGTTCCACTATTTTCATCCACCGAGCCGTCCGCAAGATCACGCGACCGTGATATTCATCCTTCCAGCCAGTCTGTTGCGCGTCGACTGTGGAGAAAAGGCCACGATTGATGATCAGGAACACTTATAGGGATCGTCCCGGCTCCCACCTTAAAAAAGTTCATGAATTGGCATAAAAGTGATGTCCCGTGGTTCAGAAAGATCAGAAAGATCAAAAATGAATCTCTACCAAATTTCATCAAAAAATATTCACTGGTTTTCAAGATATTAGACTTTTACTTCTGTTTACTTTTTGGGACCTCCGCTGTTCCTACGACGTCATTTGGAATCAATAATTTGGCATCCATAAAGTGCGACGGATGTTGCGCACAAAGCGTTATTTTCATTATTTATGCAGTATCGACTGCCCAGGTCAGGTCAAATACCTATTGTCAAAATAAACCTGCTCGCTGTTCGTAATACCACTCACACAAACTGACTTCTTTCAAAGCTGTCAGTTTCTCACAAGCTCTTCCCGGCGTACTCCCGATCAAGAGTGAGAGGCGCGTGATAGGAGACGCCTGGCTGGGCGCCGCTCATGGATAGATCGTGGGATGAGTCTCCGACCCGTCTGGTCACGGCGAAACTTAGCAGGGAGGGTTCAGAGCATCTCGACGGCGGCCGCACGCCAGCGGAGCGCCGTAACTAATGGGTGTGACACTGTGTCAACAAACGCCGCTGAGTGACGAGCCGAGGGGACCGTCGAAACGCGCGGGCCATACAGCCAGAGACATCTCTCGGCGATTTTATGAACTAGCTGTGCAATTTTTTTTTATAAATTTAGCTCGAATGTTTGAATGGACGGATTGACAGAGCCGGAGCCCACGCTAAGCAGAGCTTGTTGCGTAGACCCCGACCCCTACCGTCCGATCGCGCAATTCCGGGTATCGGGAGAATTTAGATGTCAAAGTTTAACGTGCCCTTCAAAGCCGGACACGGCCTGCCCCACTCAACTGACTTCAACTGGCTGCGGCTGCTCCCACCAACCGCAAACCATCCCCGTCAGGAGTCTCAAATATCGAGCGCCGGAGCGTCTCGAACCCGGGCTCTCACTACCGGGAGTCCAATGCTCTACCAACTGAGCTACGGGACAGGCAATGATTTTTCAACTGCAATGAGTTTCAAATGAATAGAACTGCATAGTGATACATGCAATGATGATTCACTTTACAGGATTGTGTAGAGAATCGATGTCTTTATGATTCCTAGCAGCCACATTTTTGAAATTGTTGTCTTGGCTTTCATGCAATGCACTGCAAGATGAAAATTGTATCATGCAAAACATAGCACAAAATTTGAAAAAAGGCTTGCTAGGAAATGTTTTCCTTGACTGCTTCAGTCCAAAACTGCAAACATCACAGTCGTACGAGAATCCGTTATTGAGTTCTATTCGTTTGAAATTTTGATTTTGCAATATGTTTGTCTCAATTGCTCAGTATATGTGGATTGCAGAACAACGGTAACCACTCTGTGATGACGAGGTTAAAGGGACCCTCCCACCTTAACATTAGTTTTGAGTTGAGATAGCCAAGTTTGCGGCCAGGCTCAGAAACCACCATTTATCCTGGTCGCAACCCCCGCAGCTTTATGGTGTTCAAGAAATTTCTTCCCTTTACTTGCAGGGTGGGACCAGCGTGGTCCCTATCTCTTAACCATTACGGGAATCTGATGACGTCATCAGGCTTTCGAACGTCCGTTAAATGTTTGACTAAAACGTTTTGTAGCACGCGGTGGTATATGCTGCGTTGCGCGCAACAAATGCCGCACTTTTAAATAAAGTCGCTAGGAACAGCGGAGATCCCAAAAAGTAAACAAAAGTAAAAGTCTAATATCTTGAAAACCGGTGAATATTTTTCGGTGAAATTTGGTAGATATTCGTTTTCGCTCTTTCTGAACCGAGCGACATCACTTTCATGCCAATTCATAAACTTTTTTGAAGGTGGGAGGGTCCCTTTAACGTCCTTCATAACATATCCAAAAACGAAGGCAATCGAAGCAACGATGCTCTAGATATTTACGAAAAACGTTCCTCATAGCGTTACGCGTGAAACGCACCCTTAAACTCAACAGCGTCGCCGCACAACCCCCACATTCCGTTGGTGACAAACACGCACTGGCGGCTTCATGTCACTTCATGAACTCGACAAACCCTCGTTGCTAAGCAACCGAAACAGCTGATGCGTACTCTTTATCGCCCGCGTCCTCTTACCCGCCCTTACCCTATTGTGTCGAAATAAAGGCCATGCTCCTGTTTTGGACGAGCGTTTTAAAGAAGAAGAAAAAACGCAAAACATCGCAGGTCTGCTACTACTTTAAGTTACATTTGCTAAGTAAGGCGTTTAAACGCGCAAAGGATCATTTAAGTAGATCTCAGACATGAAATTTACTATAATTATATGGACTTTAATGGTAACGTCTGGAGTCGGAGTCGGAGCAGATTTTGGAAACCGGAGTCCGGCTCGTGCTGCCGCTCGAGCCGGCTGAGCCGAGCGCTGCGTGTGGGAGCAGACCGGACACGGAGTCCGCCACCCTGGGTCCGGACTCCAGCGCTCGTCAGCCGCTGCTCCGACTGCCGTCGCCGTCAGTTTCTCGACCTGAGACGGGGCCCGCGTGCTCCCTCGAGTCCACCTATAATGACTGGATCCGGACCGGTGGCGCCGCCTACACCGCAGAGACAGATGGGGGACCCACTGCACTGAGGCGTTCCTGTAGGATCAGGAAACCGCCTGACCTCTTCCAAGCTGGTGTCTGATGGGTTAACAGAGGTGTTGTTTTGGGGAGTCGCTTCTTTCTTATTGTTTGTCCTTGTAAGAAAGGAAGCAGTGTAGCGTTCTGTTATTGTCGGGTGCTGGGTCAGATGTTCTGTTATTGGTGTTCGTTGGCCGCAGTCTGGCCTGACCGTGCCCTGCGGCCAATTGAGCGCTGTCCCGCTGCCCTGTCGTTTGAATACATCAGTCGGGCCCAAGCTAAGCCAGCGTGTGCACTGTGCGTTGCTGCGGAGAGAGGGTCGCCGTTAAAGAACACCACATTTTACGTGGTTTACAACGGCTAAACACTGAGTTTGAATATTCGACGTCATCCATTATAAGCAGTTGTTTTCGCCAACACTTTGCCAAAATAGAGTTACCAAGCTCAGATTTCGCATGTCGATAGCAGACTAATTGGTCAAAAAATATATTCCGTCTTTTGATTTTTGTTTTGTCTTTAAAGTATTATTTCAAACATTACTTTTTGAATTTTGGGGATCAAAATTAAAAAACCACGAGATAGCAGTTTTAGCCCTATTTATTTTACATCTTTTTGATATTGAACACTGTTCTGTATCTTCAAAACTGTAGGCATGATGCTCTTCCCACACAACTTTTTTGATCGAAAATGGCTGAACATGACGTCACTCTAACGTCATTTGTAGCCAGCCTATCATAGGCTCTGAAACAATTTTTGAACACAAGGTGTAAAAGTGATGTATGAGAGAGTACTGAAAGGTTCGCGACGATCGGCGCAGCAGTTACAGAGATAATGCGAAAAGACTTGAAAGGGAACAACAAATAGCCCCCCCCCCCCCCGAAAAGGGCGCGGGTTACCTGACTCCCAGAGCGGGAATGCCTTACCGAGCTCTCCCTGTAATCCCCTTTTGTTCGTTAAAACTATTAATAAAATAATCTTGGGTGACACCACCCCGGATAACGTGGGTGAGAGCCAGATGACTGGAATAGGCGTAACACGAGGACATAATAGAATAGAGGGATCGGATGCGAACTTTGATGGTCATGTCCAATCGCTAGCGGCTGTTCTGACATGTCCGCCGCACTGTCCTCAAACACATTTCTCTGAAAGGAGTAGCAGCACTGCATCAGGAAAGTTATTTCCTTTGTTTACTGGGCTATTCCGAGACAAACAAGCATAAGGATAGGAATAGCTTAGGCAACGATGCGGCTCCCCGCTCCCCTTCCAGTTTCGATAGCGGGGGAGGGAGGAGAGAGAGAAAGAGAAAGAGAAAGAGAAAGAGAAAGAGGGAGAGGGAGAGGGAGAGGGAGAGAGAGAGAGAGAGCAATGTCGCTCAACTGAAAAGATGTTGGAAAACGTTTATGAATACGAGCATTTCGTATTTCGAGGGGCGTTCAAAAAGTGCCGGGCTCGACCATGAAAGAGGTGAAATTTCGGGATGAAACTTGGCGGCAAAATGGTGTGTTATTGAGATATCCACTGAATGATTAACCAATTTCAGCCAGGGCCTGGTTTAAGCCATTTTTCTGATCCGACTTTTGGTTCCGGAGATAAGACAGGAGAGACCCTTTGCCCCCCCCCCCCTCAACAGCACTTGGAACCTGTCAGACCTTAATTGGACGCGGGTTACTGGTCTGTTGACCAGAATTGAACAGGCTTACCCACTTTTTGACGCTACTGTAAGAAAGATAAACCCCAACATGTGTTGCCTAGAAACTTACCGTGAATAACGCTTGGTGCCGTTTACTGCGAAACAATGAACCAAATCATTGTTCTCTGGGCGTCGCCCGATTCCTGACCGGGAATGACAAACTATGTTTCGATTAACTAGCAGCCTGAAACAAAGCACAGGGCAGATTGCTCAAATGGCTACGTAAATGGACATCCCAATAGCACATCGGTGAACACAACGAGGTGCAGGCCGAAATTTCAACTCTATGGTAAAGCCCGGAACTTTTTGAACACCTCTCGTAGGTACTTCCTTTCAACATACCGAATGATATGAAGTCTCCATTCTCAGTCACAGTTTTGACGGGTTCAAGTGGCGCAAGGTAACCCGAAGTCCAGTGACGACGTTTGTGCACTGGCTGGAACGAGTGGGTACCGACGCCACAGTCGTGACAGACGGCGACAGCGCAAGTCAGACACGAGATGAGCGCCGGGGCATCGCAATCTTGAATGCCACAATTCATTCCTGCAGAAAATCATGAATAACGTCAAAGTCCACGCCAGCTGGTGCATGTAGTTATGCAGTAATTACATGCACGTTCGTGATTGATTGAATATAAGAAATCGCTTCTCAAACTTCTGGAGATTCGAATCCAAACGCAAAAGTCAAATTATGAAGCTGACAAACGGCCAATCTTCCATTATGTTATGAAATATGTTTCCAGGCATTGTAAATTTAAATAGAAATAATACAGAAGGCATCCAGAAGAATCGTTACGTCTGGTAGGGTCAGTCGAAGCAGAAGGTCAATTTATCAGCACACTCACCTGACTGAGAAACCGCGTGCGATGACAGAAAGGTCGCCAAATAAAGACGGTCGAATGTCCGCCCACGAGTGCGTTTCCGACTCCTGCCGTTCGGCCCAGGTTTGTCCGGTCGTCGAGGCAGGGTCAATGCTTGCGGCATCCAGCGCTAAAAGTGAAGTAAATTTTGGGCTCACACAAATCATCATGCGATAACAATTTCACGAACACAAAATCGACATGACATCGACGCATTGTTTCCCAAACTCTACAGGGTGTCTCAAAAGTTCGCTGATATGTAGGTACCGGCCTTGCTTTTTCGTCAATAATTATGAATCAACAAGGAATTAAACGTCAAAATTTTGCCTGGGCATTGGTAACACCCGCCCTCAAGCAGTGTAATTGTTTTCAAATGCATTCGACCCTTAAGAGCTAAAAAAGGCATACCTCTGACCATGTGTCGGGCATGAAAATGCAAGAGTTTAAAAGCAGGAAACCTTTTATCAGCCTTCGGCAGCTGTTGGAGCGACCCAAATCGGTATGGGCACATATCTTTGAAGCTACAGCACAGGATTTGGTATCAAACACTCCTAATTAGTTGCCAAAGCATGCATCTTTGTCAAGTTTATACATATACATCAAAACCCTATATTTTCGGCTGGTTCTTATATGTTATTGGCGTTGGAAATATGTCAACGAACTTTTGAGACACCCTGTACGTCTGTTCTCCCGCGGAACAACTTGGATAGAAACTTTTAAAAGGTTCAGTCACTCGGTTTTCTCAAGTTTGTTTATCTTGGCAGATCAAAGCAAAGCCAGAAGAATTCCACACTTAATCAGTATCAGATGATTGGACGCTTTTTAACCCTCGCCCGTATAGGGGGAGGGGGTCGAACGGACCCCCACTCGGTTTTTCGCGAATAACTCGCGTAAAAAGCGGCCGTCGGGGTGCTGATCACGGCCGTTCGTGATCAGCACCCCGAAAAAAAACCGACTTTTGGGTCATTGACCTGACATGGAAGGTCAACCAATGACCTAAGACCTTAAGATTGGGTATCATCGGCTTCCTCTCGTCACGGGCAGCACGCTCGTTTTTTCTGCGAAGCTCTAGCTCGATCAGGGGCGAAACGACGTTCGTGGCTGGCAAACCACCGATACGGGCGAGGGTTTAAAGGGGTATTTCGTGCTTCCCGGAAAGTCACGGGAGAACAGATGTGGGGTTTGGAAAAAAAAACGCGTCAACAGGTTCGGAATCACCAAGTAGTTAAAAAAAAGATGACGTTATTCCAACACGTATCACGTGGCAGCCTAGTGACCCAGCTGCTCGTTGCCATGTCAGTTAAGTAGTTTAGCTCAGCAACACCAGTCAGCAACAAAAGGCCAGTTAGTTCGATTGACACATCCCTGCATAAATTAGTGAACACCGCATGTCGATGCGTTTATTTAATTTTGGCATTATAAGCCATTTTACGAAAGTAATAGCTTCTGGTGAGATACTATGTCGTTCAATAAGTAAAGTAAACATGCTATAGGTAATTCAGGGGCGGATCCAGAAAGTTTTGGGAGGGGGTCGCACATCGAAAGGGGCGACTTGGCAATACGGGGGGCGCTTTATACGATAGCCTCCGAAGGGGCGCCACATACCTACGCATAAAGCACTAAGCAGGGACCTATGTTGTCAGTTGTTTGTTTGCTTGTTTGGTTGCTTCACTGATATTGCATTGGGGAATGGTGAGGAAGGAGCATACCAATGTTGTTGGAGGGGAGCAAAATCAATACAACACAGTGTACTTTTATTTGAACGCGATGAGGATCTTTAGGCTTACGAAGCGGGGCTTTGCGAGGGACTTTTATGTTCTGTACCCCATGGCCTCGAGAATTCCCAAAACGGCGACGCGTAACACCACTTTGTTTCTAACCATCTTTTAATCATCCCCCGGCAAGGAGGTTGATTTAACCCTCGCCCGTATAGGGGGAGGGTGTCGAACGGACCCCCTCGGTTTTTAGCGAACAACTCGCGTAAAAGCGGACGATCACGACGAAACTTTCAGTACCCTCGAGTTGATCAATTTTACAACTACTATAAAATTTCATGACCCTGACCCAAATGACCTTTGACCTGTGACCTACTTTTTGAGACCATGTTTGGCCGGAATCGCGATTTTGCGTATGTCGGCTCGCATTAGCCGCGCTTTTGCAGTCATTTCGTGGTTTCAAGCGTTCAAACATGTGATATGATGTTGCACCCATGCATTAGAGTGGGTGTCAAAGTCACGTGAAGGTCAGGTCAGGTCATTGACCTTTGATGACCTCGGTTCACTTTTTCGAGTTTTAAATGTTGCTAGGCCAGTTTTTGTAGCTGAATTCGAATTTAGCAACCATATGAACATTAACGAAGTTGTTTTGGTGCCTTCGTAACAAGTTACGAAGCTGTCAGAGGCGGTCGACACCTACTACGAATACCCGGCAGGACCCCTACTGGATGACCTGACCTGACCTGACCCGACCTGGCCTAAATGCATGAAGACATCATCTGTGATCAAAACGAACATGATATTCGTGATCAGCATCCCGAAAAACTCCATAGCAGCCACACTTTACGACGTTCTAACAGGTCCCGATTTTCCCCACTTTTGGGTCATTGACCTGACCTGGAAGGTCAACCAATGACCTAGGACCTTAAAATTGGGTATCGTCGGCTTCCTCTCGTCACGGGCAACACGCTCGTTTTTCCGCGAAGCTCTAGCTCGGATCCGGGGCGAAACGGCAAGGGGGGTCCCTTATACGCTTTCCCGGCTGGAAAAAAAAACACCAATACGGGCGAGGGTTAACCCCTACATTTTTTCACAGATAGCATAAAAATGGTGGTGCTCTGGCATTCCCTCTGGGAAATCCTTCGGGCACATATCCTTAAAATCTAAAGTCCCAGTCGGCAGTCCTTTTAGGTCAGGCCACTAGGTCTGAAAACCGGTACAAGGTCAGGTCAGGATTAAATAGCGGCGATGGAATCACAAAGGTTTTCCTAAACAGCGTGAGTATCGTGGTACGTAGAGCCACCGAATTTTAGACACACCTTGGGACAATAAGGTGGCACATGTCCTGAAAATTTAGAGTCCCAGTAACTTTAGGAAAGGTCCCACTCACCAGGTCACTAAAACCGGTATATTGTCAAAGTGATACTGAAATGACGTCTTATTCTTTAAAGCCCAGAGTTTTGCATCGATTTGATTCAAACTTGGAGGATGGGCAAAGTTCACCGAGTGGCATTACATCTATTCCGAATTTTAACATACGGCTGACCTGAGTCCAACTAGAGGAGATGACCAATTATGATTGTAGATATATAAGAGATATCAGATATTCGCTCCATTTCAACATTTTGGTGCTTTTCTTCTTCAATTGATATCAATACGTGATCAAGTTTGTGTTTGTAAGCTGCAAACGCTAGGGTCAGGTCAACTGAGGTTGACCCGGCGGCCGCTGGGCCTCCGCGCCACCCGCCGGCCGCTGGGGGGGGGGGGGGCATATAGTTGCCCCCCCTTTACTTCTGCGACGATATCGTCGCAACGCAAAGAGATGGAGAAGCGAAACTTTGCACACATCTTCCTGAATACCTAGCCGAGGTTGTATCCAAATTTGGTGTCAATCTCATTTGAAATGACGTCACAGTGACGTCATAAGTCAAATTATAGATTTGCGACTCTCAGTTTCCTCACGATATATCAGGTACATGGGACCGAATATAAAGGGCCGATTATTGGTCAGGAACTAGATGTTAGAGCAGGTGCAGTCTAGTTCAGTTACAGTTGAGTTTCATGCTTAGCGACATCAGAAACGGTCCATATCGGAAAACGACAAAACTTTATGACGTCATGATAAGTGCTACAACAACCAAACTTTCCTCAAATATTGCCTAGGTATTCATATAGAAGCTATGCCAAGTTTCACGTTCGTAGCTCATCAGGTTTCGGAGATATTCCACAAAACGTAAAGGGGGGGGGCAACTTTATGCCCCCCAGCGGCTCGTGGGTTAAAATGGGGTCAAACTACGTGTTTGCTAATAGCTTGAAGCATAGTGAAGCGTAGTGAGAGTGTAATAAAGTCGTAGAGCGGTGCCACTCAGCAAAAGAGGTTTGAAAAAGAAGCGCCCTTCTTTTGCTTGTGCGTCCTTCTTCTCCCGGTGATGCCCCTCTTTTTCCGGAAGCGTCTCACATATGATGGGATGACTTACTTTCCCTTTTCTTCTCCCTTTTTATCCCTTTTTCTTCTCCCGGGGGCGCCCAACCTCTGCTTGGACCGCTTAATCCCTCATGGGGAGGCCCACGTTTACGTCGCCTCATTTCTTCCAAGGGCACCCAATTTGCTGTCTGTAAGACGGTCCACTTATCTGGAGCGCTCAACTTCTGCTAGAGGCGCTCCTGTTCTTCCTGGTGCGTCCCACTTTTAGCGGGAGCGCACCCTTCTTCTCCTAGGGCCATCCTCTGCTGCTGGGGAGACCCTTCTTCTACTGGGAATGAAGCGCCCCTCTCCTGCTGGGCGAGCCCAAATTCTGCTGGAGGCATCCCATTACTGCCCCACTTTTGCTCGGGTACCCCTCGTCTGCAGAGAGAACCTCTCCCTTGCTTGGAGCGCCCGTCCACTACCGGGGGCGCCCCTCTTCTGCCAGGGGCACCCTTTTTCTTCTTATCGGGCTCCTCTCTCTTTCTCTCCTTTTTTGCTGGGGCACCCATCTGTTGCTGCCTGCTGGGGCGCCCCTCTTCCGCTGGGAATGGAGCGCCCCTCTCCTTCTCTGGGGCGCCCATCTGCTGCTGGGGCGACTCTCATTTGCTGGGAATGGCCAATGGGGCGCCCCTCTCCTGCTTGGCGAGCCCAACGTCAGCTGGAGGCGCCCTATTTCTGTTCAAATTTTGAGGTGGCGTCGCTCTTCTGCCCGCCCGGGGCGCCCTCTCCTGTAGCGGGCTATGGGCGCCTTTTCCGGATGGACGGGGGGGGGGGGGGCGGCGGACCCCTTTGAACCCCTAGGTAGTTTATATAAATAACTTCAGCAAAATAAAACACGCCATCTCAGTCTTCGAAAAACCCTACGCAACCTTCGTAACTTATGACTTTTGAGAGTATGACTTTTGGTCTCAACACGGTCGGTGTGACTGGAGACACTGATGCAGCAGC